ATCCTTCTCTATTTTAGATGTCTTCTAGCTACTAGGGGAGGGGTGTGCTGACCCACAGAAAAAATCAGTGTGGGGCTGCACAAAAGTGAGGAGCAAAACAAAGCATCTCGCTGAGAACACCTCTGTCACTGGGGCCCCTGACTGAGAACCAGAAAAGCATTCCTCCACATTCTCCTCGTGAACCAGAGCGTGGTTGATCCTGGGCTAATAGATTTTGTGGGCCTCCCTAGGCTCTAGTGTGGGGCCAAAAATGAGGGCTTTGGGGTGTGGGAAGGGGGCTGCTGTTTAGTAGGCTTGGGGTTGGGTGGGTGGGTGTGCAGGAGCCAAACGGAGATGTGCAGTCTGGGTTGGAGGGGGTGCAGGTGTGGGCTGGTGATTGGAGGTGGGCGGGTCTGGGAGGGTGGTAGCATGTAGGAGTGGGCTAGGGATGGGAGGTTGTGGTCAGAATGGGGGTGGAGGAGTCGGGGTGGGGATGCAGGATCTGGACAATGCTGGGGAAGCCCCGAGCCTTGGGGACCAGATCCAGGCAAGCCAGGGGTTGGCTGTGGTCCCTGGGCCATAGGTTCCCCACCCATGCACTAGTGTTTGATTTAACTGCATTCTAGACTAATCAAGGAGTTGACTGAAGAGATACCTGAGTCATTAGCCATCATTTTTTTAAATGTCTGGATGATGGGGGAGATTCCAGAAGTCCTGGGAAAAGGCAAATATAGTGCCCATTTATAAAAAAGGAAATCAGGATAACCCAGGGAATTACAGACCAGTCCTCTTAACTTCTGTACCTGGAAAGATAATGGAGCAAATTTAATGAATCCATTTGTAAGCCTCTAAAGATAATATAAGTATCAGTATGGATGTGTAAAGAACATGTCAGAACATCCTGGTAACTTTCTTTGACAGGGTAACAAGCCTTGTGGAAAAGAGGGAAGCTGTAGATGTGGTATATCTAGCCTTAAGTATGGGTTTTGATAATCTTCCTCATTAATAAACTAAGGAACTAGAACCTACATGGAGCTCCTAGAAGATGGGTACATAAATGGTTGGATAACCACTCTGTAGGAACAGTTATCAATGATTCAGTCATGCTGCAGTGACATGAGTGGGGTCCCGGTGGGGTCAGTTATGGGTCCAGTTCTATTCAGTAATTTAGATATTGTCCGAGTACACTTTTTATAAAGTTTGTGGATGATACTAAGCTGGGAGGGGTTGCAAGTGTTTTGGAGGAACAGTCAGTTGCACATGTGGAAAATGACTGCCTAGGAAGGAGTACAGGCAGCCCCCGGGTTACATGGATCCGACTTACTTCGGATCCCTACTTACAAACGGGGTGAGGCAACCCCACACTAGCTGCTTCCCCCCAGCAGACCAGGGAGACGCCAAGCTAGCGCCCCCTCACCTCCCCCCAGCAGACTAGGGAGACGCGGAGCGGCTTTTCTCAGCAGACACCTCAGCTTGAGAATAAAGGACTGAGGGAAGTGAGGTGTGGGAGAATAAAACTGAGCTCTGGAGAAATGTTTGGCTAGTTTCCCCTACAATATGTACCATTTCCGACTTACATACAAATTCAACTTAAGAACAAACCTACAGTCCCTATCTTGTACATAACGCAGGGACTGCCTGTACTCCAGAAAGGGATCTGGGGGTCATGGTGGACCACAAAGTAAACGAGTCAACAGTGTGATGCTGTTGCAAAAAAAAAAAAAAGCCAACACCACTCTGGGATGCATTAGTAGGAGTGTTGGAAGCAAGGCATGAAGTAATTCTGCTCTACTCCATGGTGATTAGGCTTCAGTTACAGTATTTTGTTGAGTTCCTGGTGCTGCATTTCAAGAAAGATGTGGAGCAGGTCCAGAGAAAAATGATTAAAGGTGTAGAGAACATGAGCTAGGAGGGAAGACTAGAAGAATTGGGTTTGTTTAGTTACTAAAAGAAAAGACTAAGAGGGGAGATGATAGCAGTTTTCTAGTACCTAAAAGGGTATTACAAGTAGGAGAGAGAAAAATTGTTCCCCATAACCTTTGAAGATAGGAAAAGAAGCAATGGACTTGAATTTCATCAGGCAGTTTGGGTTGGACATGAGGAAAAACTTCCTAACTCTCAGGTTGGTTAAGAACTAGAGATGTAAAAATGCCTTTAACAATGTAACTGCTATTTTTTAAGCCATTACATGCCCTGTGGGCTCTGCAGCATAAAGCTTAAATAAGCTTCCTCCTCAGGCACACCGCTGGCAAGGGCTGCTGCTGCTGGCCCTGCTCCGGAGGAGGCAGCATTGCTGCAGGCTCTGTAGAGTGCTCCTGGAGAATCTGCCTGGGCCCACCACAGATAGGAGCCCTGTGGGGCTGGAGCAGTCGCCTGCTTGTGGTGAGCTACTCCAGCCCCTGCTGATTAACCAGAACTAGTAAGCCGCAACCATTAGAAGCTTACCAGTTAACCTTTTACATCCCTATTAAAAAGTGGAATAAATTACCTTGGGAGGTTGTGGAATCTCCCTCACTGGAGATATTTAAGAGTGGATTAGACAAACATCTGTCAGGAGTGATCTGGATGGTGTTTGACCCTGCCATGAGGTTTCTTCCAGTCCTATAATTGTAAGTTAAAACTTTTTTATTAAAGAAAAACATGTTTCTGTAGAAACTCTGTTCTATATCACACTTAGAATTCTGGGCCTTGTCTAAACTGCCAAGTTTTGTTAATAGCCCAAAGCTGACACACACAATGTCCAAAGAGTGTTTATGCTTGCTCACTCAGACAGTTTATCTCCACATTGGGGGCACCATCATTGAAAGGGTGAAGCTCTATGAATATTTATGCCACAATGCAGTGTTGTGGAAAAGTGGAGCTGATAATTGTGCATCTTTGGATTCTCTTGGTCCTCCCACAGTCTCCTCAGCTGCTGGGAACAGCATCTTGAGTAGCTTGTAAGCTCTCTGTGCTAAAGAATGCTAAAGCAGTACAGCAGTCCACTCCTTCTAAACAGCTTGCTGACGAAGATGACATCGGTTTAGTTTGCAAAACAAGTTAATGCACTGGGAAACCATGTAAGGTCCCTAAGAATGGAGAACAGGAGTTTTTTGGGTCTGATCAATAGGCACTATTATAACTTTTTTTAAAAATTTTTGCATCAACTATAGGAGGAAGAATAGTTACTTAGGAATCCCCTTTCAGGTACATGCTTCCCCATTATGGGAGATACAATTAGGAGCTAGGTTAATATGCTTGCTGAGGATTCTCCCTCCTCAAAGGAGGAATGTTTTCCGAGGTCGGAGAAGACGAGAAGATGACCGTCTTTCAGTAAGTTCCATTTTCATTATTGGGGGGGGAGGGGACAGAGAAGGGGATAGAGACGCTGCTGCTTTGAAGTACCCCTTTCTCCTCCCCCCTGGGGGAGGGGGAGAAAGCAACTAGTCGACTAGTCTTTCACATCCCTATTTGATGGCTCCATCCTTCTGTGTGGTGTGGGGTTTTTGGTTTGTTAGTTACAAGGACAAGTTGCCCTGCATACATATCCCAGTTTTCTCTCAAAGTGGTTTCAGGTTTTCATTTGAATCAAACTATTTGTTTGGAAGTCTCGCGAGCCTTATTCTTCCAAAGATAGAGACTACGGGTATGTCTACGTTTGCACCCTACTTCGAACTAGGGATGCAAATGTAGGCATTCGAAATAGTCAATGAAGCGGGGATTTAAATATCCCGTGCTTCATTAGCATGATTTCGCCAGCGCGTTTCGAAACAGCTGTTGATGGGAGTAACGCGCTTCATTGCCTATTTCAAATGCCTACATTTGCATCTCTAGTTCGAACTAGGGTGCAAGTGTAGACATACCCTACATCTCTTAGGCTATGTCTAGGCTATGTCTATCTCTTAGGCTGTGCCTCGTGAAATGAGGTTTACCGGAGTGGTTGACAAAGGCTTCCCTTGTCGACCGCGCCGCGCTGTGCTGTGCTGGATCAGCTGATTGTCGGCACAGCGTGGCAGCCATTTTTAGGTTAATGAAGCAGGGATTATTTAAATACCCGCCACAGTCAAAGAAACTATTTTACATGGCTTCATCAACGGAGCCATGTAGCCTAGACATAGCCCTAGAAGTTCATGACACATCAGTTTTTCACTTGAACAGATCCTAAAGAGCATAGATTTCCTCTACATTTTCCCTGAGCAAATGAGAGGGAAAACTGTTTGCTTTGAGAGGATTTCTTCTTGGTTTTGTTTTCGTGTGAGTCTGCCAGGGCCAAACTGAGCCATTCTGGTGCCCTGGGCAGACAGGTTAATTGTGCCCTGGGCTGGGGGAGGGTGCATGCATGGCCCCGCCCCCTCCTGGCGCATGGGGAGAGCGCGTAGAGCTGGTGGCGGCAGGACACATGTGGCCTGGCTACCACCGCTGGCGCACAGCTCGAGGCCACCCGAGGCGAGCCGAGCTTGGTCGCGCAGGGCTCTGCGGCTGTGGGAGGGAGGGCGCTGCTGGCCAGCACTGCGGGGGTTAACGCAGCTCCCACCCCAGGTGGCCACTGGGAGCTGTTGTAGTCCGGGAGTCGGGTGCTGCGCGCCCCTTACAGCTGCCATCAGGCGCCCCCCCATAGGTTGGCACCCTGGGCATCTGCCCAGCTAGCCCATGCCTTAATCTGGCCCTGATGTCGGCTGAATTCCCTAACCTGGCACTTCGAGTGTAGGTGATGGGGGGCCGGCTAGCAAAACAAAAAGTCAGATCCTGTCTCTGCAGTTCCTAGAGATAGAAAAGTTTTCCCTTCAGTTTCCCATGAAATCCATTGGCTCTGCCACCACCAAGTGTACTAATACTTTTTCCAGGAAAGAAATCTCTTGGAATCTCTTCCCTGAGGGCAAAACCCTCAACCTCCTTCCCCAGCAGTTGGAAAAACAAACATGAACAGCCTCCCTGAGAACAATGAACCTGAGCTTGCTTGCTCTCTGGTAACCCCTCTGCAGCCAGGCACATAAGCTTAAGGACATACAAGTTCAACAAGTGCCAGTTAACAGAACAAAAAAACCCCACTTTTTTAATTATTAAAACAAGACTGTTGTTGCAAGAATAGTAAATGGCTTGGTGTTAAAAAGTCATGAATTGAAACCAAATTCTTGGGATTACTTCTTGGATACGGGGGGGCGGGTGAAATAGCAATTAACCAGCTCAAACATAAGTTCCAAACCTTAAATAATGAAAACAATAAACCCTTATGGACTACCTAAACTTTTTCCTAATCTTACATTCTGATGAGTTGGTTTCTTCCCTCTGTACCTGGAGAAGATCCCCGTCTCTCTAACGAAGGAGACTGCTGCTCCTCAGTTTGAAATTCTTGCGCTTCATTTCATTGGCTCAATATCCAAAGCCCCCTCCCTCAGATGCAGAATAGCTTAAGGTTAGTTTAACTTTTTCCTCACTCTCCAGGTAAGTTTAGGCTCTCCTTTGCAGCTCCTGTTTACAGCACGATCTACTACAAAATGCGAATGTTCTCTGCATCAGAATTTCAGTGGTCTTCAGGGTCAGTGACATGTACACATCTGTTGCCTGGTCTTTGTTTTGGTTCAGTTGTTTACCAAACGTTGTACTCTTAGGCCTCCAGCAACAATTCTAAATTTGGAAGGGAAATAGCGCCATCCTTGTTTAGGTAGACTTATTACCCACCTCTATTGGGAGCTGCTTGTGAGTGACCTAGACTTGAATACACATTTGACAGAACTGGAAGATGGGGTGGGGGTAGGGAGGGTTTATACACTTGGTCTGTAACGGTTCTTGGAGATGTTACTCATGTCCTTTCCTCAATCTACCCTCCTTCCACTCTCCATCAGAATCACTTTGAATGCAAGCTTTCAGTGTGAAAGGATGGTGGTGGGAGGAGGATTAGGGCTCCACATTTCCTTTGTCTAGCAGAAGGAAGTAGGTGAAGGCATCATGTGCTCTCCCTGTAAGCAGAGCTATGGGAAAAGTTCACTTTGATGCAGTCACACAGACACCCGAAATGGAGCGGATGTGTGCAACTTATCTTGAGGGACAAGAGTTGGAGGTGATACATAATCCTTTTTATGCTCTATATAGGCAGTTATTAAACACTTTACTTAAGTGAAACTGCAAAATGAGTATAGGGAGGCAAATTGAATTACTACAGTTTCATGTTTCCTGGCCAAATTCTAAGTCCTATTAAAATGATAGGGAATTTCCAGTGTTCTTTATATTGTGAAAAATGTCACTGCCTTGGCACTTATCAGGCATGTGCTGCATACTGATTGTGAGAAAGATGTATCCCTGAATCGTCAAGATGTCCTGATATATGGGGTGTGGTGTTCGATAGCCTTCCATTCAAGAGCTGTCCTGATGCTTCTTAGCTTGAAATGTTTCTAGGTAGAGCCTTGTGCAGATACAAATGTCTAGCCATGATTAGACATTAGAAATCACACATCTGCAGAGCTCTACTCAGTAGAGACACTACGGTCAACAGAGGGGAGCATTGTTCCATCACAACCAGGAGCTGGCATCTCACGTCAGCAGTGCACCTTTAGTACCCCCAGCTGCGGCATGTCCTATCTGAGGTTGTACAGTACCACGGCCAGAAGGAGCTGCCAGTACAGGATATTGGCTTCTGGGCGCGACAGGACGATGCTACATTCAGTTGATCACAGTGTCTCTTGGGAGTAGAGCCCATTAGGCATTTGTATTCATGCAGGCTTTGTTTATAGGCTCACGTTACAAGGTGACATTGTTACATAGTGTACGTTAACTGACTTTTCTCTTCTTCTAGCGACCTCAGTCTTCTGTAGAAACAAAGACTCAGACACCAAAGTTTGACTTACTAGCATCAAATTTCCCTCCCCTGCCTGGCAGTACAGCAAAAATACAAGAGGAGGCTGTGCTGGAAAACAGGATGTCCGACATCGTTAAAGGAACTGGCAAAGAGAAGGTACTTGCTTCTACTTCTGAAGTGCACATCGAGATGATTAATTTCACTCCTCGTCCACATGTCCTTAACGTTTTTCAGGCTTACTAGAAGTCTGTGCCCCCCTGCTCGTTACACTTGCCAACTCTCTTCTTGCCCCCCCTCCCCAGCTGCCAGGGAGGGCCAGGCTGAGGTATGTCAGCCCTGGCCTGCAGTCTCCGCCCCTGAGGGGGAGAGGTGAGTCCAGGCCAGTCTCAGTTCTTCCCCAGATGCAGGCAGGGTTGAGGGAGGGGGGCCGGGCCAAGGCCTCAGGCTCTCTCCCGCCAGCCGCTGCAAGGGGAGGGACAAGGGAGGGAGATAGGAGGCTGGTGAGATGCAGAGTGATGTGATGACGTTACTCTGGTCCCACAAGAAAATTTTTTTTAGAGAGATCGATCTTAGGGTTAATTCCTACTGTACATGTATATTTAACTTTACATTTTTATTGTCTGGTGACCATTAAGTTTTATGGTGTCTAACACTAGTATTGGTATATTGACTGTGATCCTTCTGCAGTTTTAAAATTTTTCTTCTCTTCAGGAGTGCAAAGAGTTGGTGGTCAGTTGTCCTGCATCTGCTCAAGAAGAGCAGGCACACAGTCCTGTCCAGCAACCTCTCACAAGTGTGAGCTTACCAAGCAGGGCTGAGGTGTCTACACTAAGGTATGTAATTGGCTAGGCTAATTTGAGAAGTGTCTTTAGAAAGAAGCTGGTGTGTAGTGTGAAGGGAAGTCTTGGTTAGTTCTACTGTAACAGAGCATTATCTCCAGTTCCTCTCCATGCTGGATGCTTTTGATAGAGGCCTCTGTTCTTCTGAAAAGTTGTTGACTGTTCCAAACTTGGTGGAAACCTTGGGCGTCCTGCTCAGTTAAAACTTGAAGGTAGTGACTTGAAGGAAGAATTCCTGAAACTGAAATACCTCTAAAACAGATTTTAATGTTGAACTATCTTGTTTAATCTGTTAGCACAACTCAGACAGATAAGAAGCCAGAAGCAGTCCCTGCTCAGAAGGATGTTATAAGCCACACTTCTCCACCTGTGTCTGTACGTCCCCTCAGTGCTGCAAAGCCACAGAGGACAAATACTACATCTGCTACCAGTGGAAATGCAGCACTTACTGTGACAGTACAGGTAAGGTCAGCTGCTTTGGGTAGGAACTCAGCACTATCTAGTAAACTTACTTCCACACACTAGAGGCTGGTGGCTAGAAAATCGGGTAACTTTACTCTCCACCCCCAAAGCAGATCATGGTACTCCCCATTTGAAGTCTGTGGATGTGTGCTTCCCTTTCTGCTCTACCCTCAGACATGATCATAGTATTCCCCAGTCCAGGAGCAAACAGCTTCATGTAGATTCTGGTTTTTGAACTTCCACTAGGTACTCAAGAATAAGCAGTGCATGTTCTGACACTGTGTTCTTTTAAGTGTGCCTGGGGTATTCTTGAAGACCTTTCAGGTATAGGTTGTTTTCAGCAGAATGTGTAAACTTCTTCTTTCTCTACCCTTGGCACCCAAAGGAGCCGCGCAAGCTCAGTTATGCTGAAGTCTGCCAGAAACCCCCGAAGGAGCCCACTCCAGTTCCTGTTCAGCCACTTAGGGAGCTTCGTACCAATGTAGCTCCCCCTGCCAAAAATGAAGAAAACAATACTCCTGAAAAAGCTTCAGAGAGGGCTCATGAGAAGCTTGACGGCCGGGCGGCAAAGGATCTTTCTGGGTTCAGAGGCAATGGGCCTCCCAGGGGACCTGCTGGAAAAATCAGGGAACAGAGGCGCCAGTTTGGACGCAGATCTTCACCTCAGGGAGCACCTCGGCGTATCGGCAAGGAGCAGTATGTGCCACCCCGATCACCAAAGTAAAACTCATCAACTTTTTTTTCTATTTTAATTTGAGCTGTGGACTAAAGAGCAGCACAGGAGACAGACCATCAGGAGGAGGTATTCGGGGAACACGAATACCGAACTAGAGTATACGGTTTGAGTCTGGAGAAGGTGGGGAGGGTCCCAAAATTCATCTCTAAAAGTGATTTCACAAATGCTGGAGGATTTCAATCAATATAAATATATAGAGATTATAATTTTTGTATTTTTTTTAATTTTGCAGAGTGTTCCCTGCCTGAAATCAACTTTGAGGTTGTGAATTAGTGTTTTGACAAGATGAAAAAAATGTCATAACATGTCCCTCAGTGTATAAGGAAGAGGGCAAGAGAATATTATTTTTTTGGATTTAAAAAAAAAAAGCATTTCTGTAAAATTAGAAGTTACTTTTTTAAACCTATTTAATGTTTGGCTTATAGGGTGAGATGTATGCCATTAATGGCCTTGCATTGCAAAGCAGGTCCACAACTGAGATGCTTGGTCGGTGTGCTTGAATTGAGTGCGTGCAGCCATATACTGTTATGTCATGATTTAGTCAATGATGGTAAAAAAACCAAAACCTGAATGCACTACTGTATTAGAACTTTGTAATTCCAGATTGAAATGTAGTTTTTTGACATGACTAATATTTCATTCAGCAAGCTTTTTAAACTCTGATTTTACTAGAGATCTGTTTGCAGATCAGACCATGAGAACAGTAAGAATAGTTGATATCCTAGATGCAAGAAGGGGGAAGGGAGACATGTTTGGGATTTTTAATTTTCCCTTTACCTATCAATTGAGGGCAGCATTTTAATTTTTTTTATTGCTTAAATGTTGTTTTCTCTAACTCCTTTATTATAGACTTGTGTGCATTTATCTGGTGTTTTCCTGAGGCAGGCCCAGTTAATGGAAGACTGCACCCCGGTGGTGGTAGTGTCATAGGTGAAGGGCCTGAGCTTTCAGTTGCACTCAAGGAATTCTTCTTTGCAGGTGGGACTCTTGAGGGCAGGTTCAAAGCCCCAAATGGGTCTGAAATTGAGGCTTTTGATTTCCTGTGAGACATTCAGCAGTTGGGGGGGCATGGCCAAGTTTCCATATAGTGACTTAGATTGGTTCTCTGGATTAGTGTTAAGCACTATTATAGTATACGTATTAGGGAAACTCTACAGCAGATAGTAGCTCCTGACTTTTTAATTGCTTGGAACTAACAGTTTAAAGTGGAACAAAGGCCATGAGGTTTTAATTTTAATTTCAAAGAGATTACTTTGACTAAATTCACAACACTATTGGGTAGTAGGCAGTTGAGTTTGAGCTAATTACCATAAATGACTAAAGGCAACAGGAAAAATTCAATGCATTAATTTGCCAAAATAAGCATGCCCACATTCAGAGTTCTGTATAAAGTGTTAAGAAAAGTAGCTCACAGCAGTAAGAATTGTACTTTTTTTTTCTTTTAGGGAATAGGAAGTGTACAAATTTAAAGCTGTAAGTTGTGAACACACTGGAAAATTCAGTTGATACATTCATTCTAATGGCATCACTAGCATATATTACTAAGATGTTTACGATATGTAAATGACAGTTAAAATTATGTTAACTGTGAAATCTTCACCTTTTGATTTCTTAGCCAGGTGAACCCTGGTGACTTCTTACTCCCATCAACTGCTTTGAGAACTCTTGTATCTGTATTTATAAATATATATATATATATATATATAAAGCCAGAGTTGTCATTTCTCTAACTTATTATTCAGCTTGGCAGTTGCTTTTGATTTGATTCATGAGTCCTATATTAATGCAGTTAACTGTTGGTTTTGTGCATGTTGCGTACATTAAAACAATCATTACTCAGTTGTAAACTACCCGTACTAGGTTCAGGGGTTTAATTACCAAAATCATGGATCAAATCTATTATTTAAGAATGCTTACAAACCTGTCTCAGTTTACGTGGATAATGCTACATTTGATGGTAATGATACAAGGAAGTTTAAGTATTTAAACAGGTTAAGAGCTCTGTGAAATGCATCAAATATCAAAGAAGCTGCTTTCTATAAATAATTTTATAAATTTAATTACTGCACACAGTGGAAAAATAACATGTATTCTGTATAATAGTCACCAATATTAGGGTAATGTGCACTTTGATTGCAGAGTGAACGATGTGTTGGAATTCTAATAGCAGCCATGAGCTGGTTGCAATTAAGAGGAAGATCTCTTTGGTAAGAGACTTTTGCAAATGTACAATCTCTGGCGCCTAGCTTGGCTAAACTGGCATGTTAATTTTGACCTATGTGGGCATCTGCTTTTAAATTGGTGCATAGAGCTTGTTGAGCTGGAAGATAGAATTTGAGTATTTCTGACAGTTGTAAAATGTAGCTTTTTCCTTTTATTAGATGTATTAAAAAAAAACCTTACAGCTCAATCTTTTTACTTGTAAGGTGATTGGAAAAACTTGGTGTGAAAGGAATGTTTTATGTCTTAAATGTGCATTTTCCAGTAACAGATTATGGTCTTGTATAGTGTATGCAAATAAGTCTGTAAATTTGTTGGCTTTTTTCCCAAGCATATTCTAATTCTATCAGATTAGGGAGTTCACCATAAGTAAACTATTTGATACTGGTGTGCAAAGACTTAACATTAGGATTCCCTTCCTTCTGCCACTGCCATGCATACTGTTGTCTTTTTTAGGGGGTGTTTGGTGTTGGTGGGGAAATAAAGTAAATATAAAGGCTTTGAAAACTAGTTTTGTGTGCAAGGTCTCCTGCAGTACTCGTATTGCATGGCAAACACATAACATAGGCTAGCTGCTACTTCTCATTCTCCAGATATAGTCGCAAGCAAATTCTTGTTTCTTGCCCACCAAGTTTTCCTGTTTGACAGACTATTGGAAACAAGGACAAAAAGACCATTTGAGAGCCAGATTTTGCAGAGTTGCTTGTGAAACTCTATTGTCTTCAGCTGAAGTGCCTCATGACTGGCTCTTCTTCCACAAAGGTTCATTGAGCTACTGAAGATGATGGATTCTTAGTAACTCTTTCATTTTCACCACACAGGGCACAGGCATTCTTTTACCTACTGACTGTAGTTAAAGCGCACAAAAAATACAGCTCAATTTTTAGTTTCATGAATTGTCACATTTCCAAAATTAGTCTGTTTGATTAGCTACAAAGATGTATTGCTCAAATTAAACTTCCACTTGATTTGTGGAAAAGATTGGGCCTTTTGTGGGTGTGGGTGGTTAGGGCAGGGGAAGGAGAGACTGTGATTGTAAAATTGAAGTGCAAAAATTTAATTTTGAAAATTAATTTGGTTTTATTTTTTTTTTTTTTTTTTTTCATAACCAAGTTAGCTTGGCACAGTGTGGTGGTGCAATTTTAGCAGTAGGTAAAATAAAATAACCCATCCTATTAAGCAGAAGAGAACAAGGATGATATTGTGGCAGATCAATAGCAATTAATTGACTTAATTGATGCTTTACTGTAGTTAAATAGCTATGGCCTTACTACTTTGTCAATATCCACTTATATCTTTAAAATGTCTTTTTTTTTTCTTTTAACTGTTATCCCAGGTGAACGTTCGCTTGGGTAAAATCTGTGTACAGACAATATTTTAAACTTGTAAAATGAACCATTGTATTACAAACAGGATGCAACAGAAATGCACTTCTGAGGAAAACTTGCTTCTGAGTTTATTTTGTAAATCCTTGATTGCAACAGATATGCAAATAGACATTTGGTTTCTGATTTTTGATATTTCCTTCTGAAATAATAATTTTGCCATTAATCTGAATGATTTATCATGCTTTTGTTGTGTATATATCGCATAGTCTGAGCTTCCTTTTTAGGATGGTACATGATTTTATTTGTGTGTGTGTGTGTTTGTTTTTGTTTTTTTTGTTTTTTTTTTTAAAGTTGGCTCTTAAGTGACCCCGGCATAGACACTTCAAGACATCATATGAGTCTGTTTTTTACTATACTGTTGGGAGGACTTGAAAGGAGTTAAAGATTATTTCTGAAAAATCCATCTGCAAACTAACCTGTAACAACTTACAATTTTATATTTAAAAACTAGAGGTTTATTTTTATGGAACTTCAGTTATGGATACAATATCAAAAGATGCAACTTCACATGTAAACAGATTGTGCACCAACGGCTTTTGTTCTAATTTTTATAAAATACAAAATATTCAGGTAATCAGTTTAAGTGACTAATGGCATCTCACTCCTCCCAGACGATTTGACATTCCCTTGGCATTTACTATCTCTTTTCAAAGTGGTAGGACTTCAGTAAAAGTGATTTAAAAAAAAAAAAAAAGCAACTTATCTGTCTGGCTTCAATATTCTGTCCATTGTCAAAACTGTCCAAAATTTCTGTAAAGTAGGTTCATGCTTTAAATGTTAAAATGATAATACATGTATTTGTATTTGTTTTTGACATTGCCAAGGTGCTATGGGAAATTGAATTAACAGTTAGAAAAATAAAGCTGATTTAAAGAAACAAGCCTGTTGTCTTTTGATTTCACAAGGAGATGCTGTTCTGATGTTAAATGGCTGCTAATACTACTTTTCATACATGCCTGCGAACATTGCATAATGTCTGCTATCCTTGCCATGTTGAGAGTGTTGTTTCGTGTTACAGGTAAGAAGATGGATCTCTTTCTTAAGATGGAAAGATTGAAGAAAAATAGTACAGGGACAGTAGTTCAGATTTATTCTGGAAAGGAAAAAGTGAGGACTTGATTCCAGGGTGATGTGTCAACTGTGAATGGACCAGTTTTTCCTTTCCATATTTGAGAGCAGGAAGGCATTGATAGCAGGTAAAATAAAAGTATGAGTAAGCTACTGTCTCTGCATTTCTAGCACAAAACAGGTCACTGTACAAGCACTTGATAGGACTTCCTTCATTCTTCATCTAGAGCCTCTTTCAAAGAGGAACCCAAGATAGAAAATGTTTAACCTACTGGGAAGGCCTCTTGGGTGTGGGATGACTTTTGTTTTGTTCTTGACTACGACATGAGGGCAGTAGGGGATTCCACAGCTGTTAGCCCACAGCAGAAGCCTGTCTTGCTCCAAAGAGTGTCAAGGTGGATTCTGTCAACCTGCCTGTACACATGGTTAAGTGTACGTAAGCTATGTGCCATAACTGTATGACAAGATAAAAATGTGCCATTCGTAATTCTGTTTTAGCAATCTTAATGGCCTCACCTTTCGATGGTACTCAATCTGTAACTTGATTGCCCTGTTTATGTTGTACTGGGTATACAGGGCCATGGATGCAGTGGAAATTGACCCTAAGACCCTACAGAATGGAAATTTTAAGTAGAGTGAACTAGAAACAAGCTGTCTGTGATTAAAGCAGTGGTTTCCATATTGTAACAGTTTCAGTCACAACCATTTTTTTTTAATGTGAACCAAAAAAGTTTT